AATATGGCACTTTTGATTTGCGATTGTACGCTTATAGTTTTGTTTATATGTTTTTTCATAACCAGCAATATATATTTGTCATGAATAAGTGATAATTGTGTTTTAATTATGTTTGATTTTTCGGTTGCATGTGACCTTTAACAGTATGGAAAAACACATCAGGCCGTTGAAATGTCATTATTACGTTCTTTTACGTCCGATACATTCTGTTACAAATCGCACATTTTTTATTCAAATGGTCAATATGGAAATCCACTTGCAACTTAATGTCAATGATTTCGCTCTATCCATGGGAAGTGGAGGGACAATACACATGCATTGATGCTTTTCACTGTCGTTCACTCTGCAGATACCTGTTTTAAAATTAGACGGCTTTTTACACTTGCTGAAAGGGTTCAGGCTATAGGCCTTTTGGAATCTGGTCAAAACTTAGCGGCTGTCCGCTTTAATGTGGAGTGCTATTGGTAGATCATTGTGGCAGATTTCAAGCCAATGGGGTCCGTGGAATATGCACGTCGACCAGGTCGCTCCCAGAGTCACAATGGGTGAGGTGGATAGGGTACATGATTAACACTGCGTTACGTAACAGATTCCTTAACCCAGCAGATCTTCAGACAGAACACTTCAATGTTAACAATGTAAGGATATCCAGGAGCACCGTTCGTCGACGTTTAAGGGAGACGTTTACAGAAAACGAGAAACCCTGAAAAAGCTACAGACTCCATCACCTTACTGAGCTGCTTCAGCAAAATTATTCACCTCTGTACTGGAAACAACCGACCGCACAAAAGCATCTAGATTCATCCGGGGTCCTCTCAGAAGCAAAGCTGATTCAGCAAAACAGTACTCTATAAGTGATCATATCTTTAATCTCCACTGCCTATTGGAACTTATAAACCATCCAAAAGAAACTCTTTGGCAGTTTTTATAGACTTTGAAAAGTCATTTTGACAATGTTTGGAGAATAGGACTTTGGAACAAGTTATTAAAGCAAGGAATCAACGGTGGTTTCTTTAAAATAATCCAAAACATGTACAAATAAACACGATCATGTGTTTCCAGCAATAACACATAAGAACCGAGTAATTTCCCATGCACATAAAGGCGTACGGCAAGCAGGTGAAAACTATCCCCTATGCTATTGGTTTTAAACATATTTTTATTCCTAGAGAATCTGGTTTTGGTAAAACAAGCAGAACTCTGCTTATATCAATACCTCACCAGTACATATATCATTTAAACAAAATACACAAGAACTGGATACAAAAACCGACAAATTAATTCATATATGTGCGTTGCAGGTGCTTATATAAACATTGAGCTTGCAGCTACACTTCATTAATTGATTGCATATAATTGTTAGGTATAATTTGTCAAATCGTTTAGACTTAAAGATGCATTGATGCAGGGACTCTATTATGTTCTTATTGACGTTGTTTGTTTGCGCTGGAGGTATTCCGTATAACACAGTTTCATATATATATGCTATTTGCACCATACCTTAATGACTCCGAAGAATGCCTCACTAGTAAGTCCCAGCGATGGAACCACAATCAAGGTGGATGAAGAAATGAAACATCCCAATTAAAACCATTTGCACTATTGTATGCAGACGACACCGTTATGCTAGCTCATACAAAGGAATCTCTACAGGAACAACTTGATGCTTTCAGCCAATACTGTCGACATTGGAAACTGAAGATTAATGTCAAAAAAGTTCTTTTTTTCAATGGCAACAAATTAAAAGTCGTTCTCTACAGGATTCAAGTTAAACGTAGAAATAAACAGCTACATAGAAATGAGAAAGTCTGTTTCGCAGAGAAAGCCAGCAAAGCCATGCACTTTTATAATATCTAAGGCAAGAAAGTTCAATTTATCCATTTCATGCCAGTTTAAATTATTTGATGCTATGATTTCGCCAATTTTAACCTATGGAGCTGATATCTGGGGTTGCGAAGATTTAAAATTTGACTGAAAATGTTAAAAATTATGTTTCTTTCTGTAAAGTCCTGTGTTGTAAGAAAAGTACACCATTATGTATGTTATAGTAATGGAGAAACTGGTCGTATACCACTGTCCATTTTGGGGAAAATTGATAATGGGAAAAATCAAATAAAATTTCATCAGTTTTATATATGTATTGTACAAACAAGTTTGCAAAACGTAATGCCAACGATAGTTGTAAATGGATTAATTTCATCAGAAATATCCTAACAGACACTGGGTAATAATAATGTGTGGATTAATCAGTGTTTCCCTTCTGTAAATTGGCTTACTGGCTTATGCCCGAAACTGCCCTCAATGACCAATATGCACAGCAATGGTTCTCTTTGTGTAAATAACTCGTCAAAATGTAAATCTCTATAAGGTTATCAAACTACAAATGTAATTTCCCTTGAATGTTATCTTTTCTAAACTTAAAAGAACTGTCTTATTTACCTTTACTCTTTTAGAATAGCTTGCCATATACTGCCAGTTGAAGTGGGGAGATGGCATAATGTTCAATATGTAAATAAACTCTTTGTAATTTATGTGATATTAACGCTATTGGCGATGAACACCCATTACCTATGCATTTGTAAAGTATAGTATAGAAAAATGTACATCTCAAAAATATTATTATCAAAGCTTCAATTTGTATATAAAACCACTCAATTATTCAACTGCCATAAAGTAAGTGTATTTCGCAAACTGGCTAAATTTTGTAATATTATCATGCACCAATTTAAAAGAAATACTAAATAACCCGTCCAGTTATACCTTTATCCGCCGCCATTACTCAAAATAGCCCAATGTTAAACTCTCAATATGATATGTATATAGCCCTTGAGTGTAATAAAGTTCTGTTTTGTTCTGGCTGGACTCACAGGCGACCTGCAGTTCGTCCACCACTCAACACCACGCTCGCTGGTGACAGGGTGCGTTTGAGATGCTATAGACGTCAAGTATCCGCTTACACCAACGTCAATGGTCTCGTTAGCCATTCACAGATGAAAGTAGATTCAATATGGCCTTCCATGATGGTCGGCAGAGGGATTTTATCGTCGCAATGGGAGAACGAAGAATAGATGCAGCCGTGGCCACGCATAACCGAATTTGGATATACTGGATATAATTGATGTACTCCATCACGTGATCGATGTAATCCTACCTGGACAGCGTTATCGGGACGAGATTCTGGCCCTATATCAGTACCATCTCTGCAAACTTTGCATATTTATACAGTCGTAACTTCCTCTTGGGCGCGCGAGGAGGGTGTACGTAAGATATTGAATGACCGATTGCTTCCATGTAGTTTGTCATTTCATGTTTGGGGTTATCTATACAACTACGCCGCTAGTGCTGTTTTGAATTCTTTATCTCGTGGCGTCGACGTCACGTTTGTCAACACATTAAAGTCACGGCATTTTTAGACACTCTTTAGTTGTAATTACTCGAGCAACCTTTCTGTACATGTGCTATATATGATTTGACCTGTTATTAATGACGCTTCCAGCATATTTTGTATCTCTACCATGGATGTTCTCACCCATCATACAGTATCCTGACACCGAGTTAACCACTAACTGAGTTAAATACTTCGCCGCACTCCAGCAATATTCCAGCTATATGGCGCAACCCTGTAAATAATCATTCTGCACCAGCCACCGAGTGATCAAATAGCATGAGCTCCTTGGACTTTGTGCAATTGGGAACCCGTTCCATGGTATGTGTCAAATCCAAGCCAGCGAGCCTGACCACCGATCCCGTTTGTCGCCCTTACGACAAGCATAGGTTACTGAAGGTTCATTCTGACCCGGACCTTCACTGGTCTAACCATTAAACTACTCTATGGTATAGTGGCGGGTATACGGGTTTTACGCTGCTTTTGTTAATAATATTCCCCACCAATATCACGGCGGGGACACCAGAAATGGCTTCACATTGTTCCCAGCGTGGGGAATCGAACACTGGTCTCTGCGACGAGCGAACGCTTTCACCACAAGGCTAACCAACCACGTCCCGGGTATGGTCAGCAAAAGTGGATCAAATAAGCTGTCCTCTCTACCCCCAGGACCGACGGTTTATCCATTGCACCATGAGGGCAGTAATGTAGGTATAAGGGGTTATATTTGCTTATATAGTGTTTAAAACAGGCGACATATTTGTACAAGTAGATAATGTACTGGTATAAAGAAATGAGTTTATTTGGAAAGTAGCATACATCTAAAACATGTTAAGTGCCACAGTTGTCTGGTTGGAGTTTTGACTCACAAGCGAGTTATTATAAAATTTGGCTGGCTATGTGTCTGCTAACAAAGCTGCCGTGAAAGAGTATATATATCACGCAAATTATATGAGACTAATCACTGCCTTGCAAATGCCCGAATTCAGACAGTAGTACATTTATCTAAGTTGACACCTCCAGCGATGGCTGCTGAACGGAAACCCATAATTTATTCCGGACCTAGACCCTTAGTCTATAATACTATAAACATGATAGAAATGTACATGCTGAAATGGCGAGAGAACCTTATTCTTTCAGCTTCTGTACCTCAGTACCATACGTAATTTACTAAACATTTAATGATATATAATTGCCTTGGCTGATGAAGGCCAAAACAAAGGTTCTCTAGTTGATGGTGGATTGGTTTGATGAGTTGCGAAACATTCTCTTCTCCCCACCCTGCACCCCCTTAGTTTATCTTCAACATAGCAAGGCCTCACTGTAGAATACATAGAAGCGTCTTAAAAATGTGGTTTCCTGTATGTGTTTGCCATTTGTAAGTCTTGAAGTTGTAAACTCTAAACATGGTTTCATTCTTGCCGATAAGAGGGGACTGAGTAAAATGGTTTTCACACAAGATATAGATTAAAAATGTTGAATGGTCGCATTTAGTTGATGAGCCGATGCGTACAGGAAGCACTATAAAATCCATGGGTCCATGACAGTAGTGGCTCTCACAGAAGCTGTTGGCTACCACGTTAAACTAGCGTAACATCAAATCGACAGATGACAGTCACACCCAGTCATCGACATCCCTGTCCTTCAGCTTTGCCTTCAGTCTCCTTTGGTCTTCTGGATAGCCTTCTCTCCTTCCTTGACTTCTATTCGTCGGTCCAGGTGGAGGCTGAACTGCTTTCATCCGCCTCTCAATTCTCTCTATTCTGCTCTCTTCACCTTGTATCAAATTCTGCTTCCGGTTGAACTAAACAGCAAATTGAAGCAGTGTAAGGTTCCTTTGGTTTGTGTTTCCAGTTCTGTTCCTGCCCTCTCGAAATTGTAGCCTTGTCCCTTCCGATCCAGTCCAAGCAACCCCCAGACTTGCAACTTGATCCCATCAGGGTGCTTCTCTGAGACTCTAAACGCATCCTCGGCAAGGTTGTTTGACCATGTAGGCCAAGGTGTTGGCGTGGGTGGTTTGTACATAGATCATATCTCCTCAGCATGTCCGACATGGTGTAACTTCAGGCGAAACTTCTTTCCCTTCAGCACTTCTTGGAGAAAATTTTGACATCTCATTCATGTTACACTTTAATGATGTTGATACATTGTTTGGAAAAATCTCACCAATTTTCCTTTCCCCATTGGGTTCCTTGACTTCCCAAATAGCCTTGAATCCCCTGCAATAACGCTTTGATCTGGCCAAAGTCTACCTTTGTCCAGCTTCTTGGATCCGTAAGATCGGTGATAATGGCTGCATGTTCCTATGGGACTTTATCTTAGTTTCTCGCTTTTATCACGGAAGTCATCCCCTAACGGTCTCAAGGGTGATGAAGCTTGTCTGACCTTAAATCTGGCCTGTGCACTGTGTCTCAAAGAGGCAAAAGCCTGGATTGTCCCTTTGCTCATAAGGATGACATTCTCGGGTCGGTATTCTGGAAATTTATTTCCGCCCCAAAATGCAGTTTCAAAACAAGTTTAAACTCCTTCCTTGCATCTTGCATTAAGCCCACCCGCCACTACTCGCTCTCTCTATTTGCTTTTCGTTCCCCGCCTGACAGTTTATTGGCATCCTTCAAAGTCTTAATCAGTTGAGACGCATCCTCCTTAATTCATCGAATTTGTCTCTACAATTTGAGTAGGGATGAGAGAGGAACTACTACGTCACTTAATGTTGACTCGACCATTGTCAGATCCCCTGGTTCTTTCCCCCAGGAAGCAGGCTGGGTTGAAATTGTCCGGTGACGTTCTGGGATGCAGAGCGAAATTCTAGGAAGTTCCAACACATGAGTGCATCATCTGCAGAGTTTCTGTTTTGATTCTCACAGACGCTGTGTCCCTCCCCTTATTTCCGCGTAAGTCTTACCACCAACGGATTCTTCTATCGCGAATATGTTTGTCACACTCTGTACTGCTGTGACAGCACATTTGGCTAACCCCTCTCCACGAAATCCATTCAGCATATCCTAACCCTAGAGGGGTATAGAGTCCATGGCCTTTCATACGACTCTTTGAGCTTTTAAACTGCTCCTCTCATTTCTGTTATAATTCTTTCAGCTTTGTTCTTCCTTTTCTAATGCCCCTTCCGTGCTGATTTCCCACTTCAATGTCTTTTCAGCTTTCTTAATCTTGTCGTCATATTCCCTTTGAAAAATGTACATGCCTCTTTGCAGTTCGCCAATCAAATCCATGACGTCAGAAAAACTGTGGCCAATTTCCCCTTAGCTTTTAACACACAGGTGTCAGTAATCCCTTTCTTTGATGTTCGGCCAAAATATCCGAACCAATTCTTTGTATTTCATCAGATCCAATTCAAATGATAAACTGCAAAGATTATATGACTCACAAGGTACAATGTGTATATACTATTTGAAGAGATGCTTTAGAGTGATGTATGAAGAGTGATAAGAAAACCTTTGCTAGTGGGCCACATTCAGTAATATCCATGCCAAGAATTTTTATGCACTAAATGTAAAATGTCAAGTGTATTTTACAGAAAAAACGACTCGAGAGGAACGGAAGGAAAACTTCATCAAAATTAAGCCAGCATTGAAAAAAAAATAGTTTCTCGGTACCAAATGTAACATATACAGGTTGCCTACACCATGTCAAAGTACAGATTCTAGTACTTTTCCTTGCATGTACAAAGTTATCATGGTAGAGATTATTCAAGAAAGTAGTTCCCAAAATGGACATAAGCATAATTTCTTTCGCTTGAAACTCAATTCCCCAATAGGCCTCTAGTAATGTAAAGATATTAGTCCTCATTGCTAGTTTTACATATTTTTCTTTAAGCAAACCGATGATGTCATGTCAAAGTTGAGGTCAACGTCTCGGTGACAGTTTTAAGTCATAGTCCGCAGACCCCTCATACAAAACATTACGATGATAGATGTTCCAATCTTTGTCATATCTTTGATTTAACAAGTGTTCAGTACCTTTGTACAAGCAGATTAGTATTTCAAAACGCATTGATTTTACTTTTTCTGTTCGGTTTTTAAGTTCTTCGTGAATGAATTTTTCTATAAATACCTTCACAGCGTTCTTGACATGGAGAGGTATCTGCAGGGTAAGAAGACGGATCTGGTCCATGTTCTTGTTGGCACAGTTGAAGGAAGTCCATCCCTGGTTGGCGACCTGAACTATGCTTGTCCTCAGTGAATCAGGGTACTTGGTATATTTGAAGGCAGATCTGTCCATGTGTTCTGACACCAGAGAGACGTCCTTGTCCAGAGTGACGAGCACCAACTGACCCAGAAGACACACCGACAGAGGAGCTGGGCACAGCATCTCCTGCCAGTTCATATGAGGCCCTAGGACCAGCATCATGTCTTCCTGCAATTGCAATGAAAGATGTACTATGAAAAGAATACCACTAGGTAACAGTTTTATTTCCAAGTATTACTTTAGCCATTACTAAAGACTGAAGTTTTTAACATTTAAATCATTTGTCCAATCATCATGGAACGTCCTTATACCACAGATTGGATTCTATGGCTGAAGAAGTTTTAAATGATCATGCTTGACGTGGTATGGACAAACACTCAGTGTGGTAGAAGATATCTACTGCTGGTTTGTTGTGGACTATGGACTACGTGATCTCATGCACTGTCAGAAGGTATGACAATAGCAAAACTCTACCTTGGCATCCGTCGGGCTCATCACTCTTTTCTCGGCCTTTGCAATGTCCTGTCTGCTGACATCCGCCATGATGTGTTCTCTTTATTTCTGGTAATACGAATGTTCTGGAACATGTGTTACAGATAGAATTTAGTTATCAGATGGAATATTGTTCAGTTAATAGATTATTATATGTGGGTTATAGATTCACAGATAAACGTCACTCATTTGATTGTCTGGCCAAGTACAAATCTGCAGACCATGAACATGTAGCTGGAATAGTGCAGCTATAAAGCAATCATGAAACTGTGGCTTACATAGGAAACATATAAATTTATAGACAGAAGTATACACACGCACACGCACACGCACACGCACACGCACGCACACACACATAAAATATGTGAGTGCAACCTTTCTTACAGAACACCTTTGCCTGCTATTGAAAACTGAATTTTTGTTGAAAAGTATTTATAGTTTCGTTCCACCACCACAAACTGCCTAACTGTGGTGTTTTGTTGGACGACTGCCTTGACAGATGCATCATCTCCAACACGCTGTACGTACCCCATACGTAAAACTCAAAAATATAAAAATAGTTTTATTGAAATGAAAGCAACACAAAACTACAACTTAATAATTGCGTTTTTACAAATTACTAAGTTAACAAGAAGACAGGACGTGGAAGCAAAGATACATATTCAGTTTGAGACTATACAACGAATTAACCTAACAAAACGTGACTTAAGGGTCTTTTCACAAAATATATGAACAGTCCAACAATGATAGTAGGAAGATCTTTGGGCAGTCAATTCATTGTATTTTGCAGTTGACTATGTCAGAATGCCCACACGTCACCACTCGTCTCCATCTGCAGCCCGATAGCCTTGAAAGCAGGGCGTGAGAGAACCTTAATCCACAACTCGTACGTTCTGACCCTGTTTTCTGTAGACTGTCAACCAGGATCTTCAAAGGTTCTCCAATCTGTGCTATGTCATACATTAATTTGGTTTCATCCCTTAAGATCTCGGCTCGTCCGGCAACAAGGCTGAGCTTGTGAATAACCTTCCGCATGTTGACCAGACTGGAGTTTTGTTCTGTAATGTAATTCCTGGTGGTTTGAATGTAGAGCTCTCAGTGTTACTAATCTCAGCAACGACACTCGCTTTTTCATCTGTTTTTCTTTGTAATTCATGTTCAGTTTGTTGACAGTTATTTGACATCTCTGACAAAGTGTCCCTTGCGTTAGACAGTGTCGATCGAACTGAATTCAGGCAGTGTTCGGCATTCTCCACATCATTTGTAAGAGCCGTCTCAGAAACGGCCAGCATTGTTGCTCCAACTATTGGGATCCATATGGTCGCCCAACCTGCTGTTCGTACGTCATTGCGATGCTTTTCAGCTCGTTGAACTCTTTGCTCTGCACTTTGCACGTCCTCTTCGGCACTGGAAACCCTTCGCGCCTGGTCCTGCAGGTGTCTTCTTTTCATCAAGTGATGCATTCAAGGATGCTAAAGACACCAGAAGTTGCTGGTGATAGGCTTGCTTCTGTGAAAGCTCTGCTTCCTTGCCGAGACACTTTTCAGTCAAAGCTTTTATGTTCTCAGTAAGTTTTCGTTCGGCGTCGGAAAATGCCTCATAGGCATTATTTGCCACACCCTTAACGTCCTTTGATCCAGATTCTATTATGGTCATGAGATCATCAATGTACTGCACGCCAGCCTCGAACTGTGTCACAACTGCTGGAGGTACTGGTTCGTGTATTTGTTTGCACAAAGCTTGGTCCATTGTCTGAAAAATGTGTTATTGTTGATTTACTTTCGGAATTTATAGAAGCTTGGAATCTTTGCAGGAATATATATAGTTTGTAACATAAAAGGTATATGATGTATATAAGGTAACTACAATGCATGTTGTGTGACATGGCAGCGCTGTTCTCAAATACCCTTTGCTAAAATATAACTGGCTTGTCCTTCAAACAACAGTTCTGTTCTGACGTAGGATAAAACACGTAATTTTAGGTGTTTATGACTTTAAAATCCACAACAGAACTAGGGTTGTAAATATCATAAAAAATCTGAGGAGATCTTTATAAACGGAAAGAAAAATGTGTAAAAAGCGTTTATCAGTATTTTTATCTTTCCCACATTTCCTATGAACTTTTAAAACTTAAACTATCTCCTGTTGCCATACATGTACTTGGAGAAGGAGATCAGTAAAGGCATTTAAACTTTATTTTTGGTGTGTAAAATCAATTGTGTGTTATTTTGATTTTGTTATTTCATGTATAAAATTATGGATATTGCATAGCTGGGAACAGTGACAGGACGACGGAACTGGTGGTTATAACAAAATACAGACTTAATCACACAGGTCTCTATGCTGCCCACAGTCTGGCTAAACTTATATCAGCGTGAGTGAGAGAGTATATTGGTATTGAGCTGCCGCAGCTGCCTTAAGCTACACAAAGGCAATGGGTAAAGTATCGAGTATGAGCCAGGCAAACCAATGGCCGAAAGCATGAGCATCTATGCAATAACACATCTTTATCATTAGTTGGAACTATAAACAACAAACAGTTCTGAAGTCTAAATCAATCTGTGACGGTAGCCATTCCTGGGATTACTATAAAAATGTTTCACATTCTTTAAACGAAATTTCACTACTCAAGAAATGATCGTGAATATCTGATATATATACTGTTCAACATTTGCTAAGGATCACAGACCTTTCAAAAAAACACTTATACCATCATAAGTAATATGACGTCACACGAGTGTCACATATATCTCGATTCGCCCTTTGTGAGAAAGTGGCTTGTATTAACACCTATCGTGGCCATGCAGGGCCAAACCTGGACATACAGGTGGTGACACAACAGTTGTCAAAGTCACAATTATCTGTTCAGTAGGTGTAACCCCCAAACACGCACTACAGTATGGACCCGTGAAGATCCGGGTTAGAATTGATCTTCGGTAACCCAAACTTGTCGTAAGAGGCGACAAACGGAATTGGCTTGCCCTAATATCGCCTACACCTCATATCGCCTACACCTCATATCGCCTACACCTCATATCGCCTACATTAATTATAATGGCCAGTTCTACAACCCCCATCATAAGTAATGGGTATTGATATTGGTATTTTAACTTATTGTATATATATCCTTATTAAAGTATAAATCATCAGTGCAAGAGTTTATTTTCATAAGTGGAAGACTTTTCTAAAGGTATAACAGCATTTACGTAATGTGCAGTCAGCCCTAAATTTGTTTTGATAAGGGTGTAGGCGAAATGAGGTGTAGGCGATATGAGGTCAGACCATCAGACTCGCTGACTTGGTTGACTCATATCATCGTATCCCAATTGTGTAGGTAGATGCTGATGTTGTTGATCACTGGATTGTCTGGTACAGACTCGATTATTTACAGACCGCCGCCATATAGCTGGGATATTGCTTAGTGCAGCGTAAAACACTAAACTCGCTCACTCACTACAGTTTGACACCGCCTTTTCATGCTGCCAACACTGTTGCTGTGGGAGACGGTTCAAATCCTGCTAGAGTCTGTGTTTGGTGCTTGGTTGATGCACTTGCTTTGGTGCTTTGGTGCTTGGTTGATCCACTTGCTTTGGTGCTTGGTTGATCCACTTGCTTTGGTGCTTGGTTGATCCTTTTGCTTTGGTGCTTGGTTGCTTGTTGCAGCAGGTTCCCTGTGTGTTCTATGGGATGGAGATTAGGGCCATACCATACTTTTTGGGGGTTTATGTTTTCAGATACTTTCCCACGGCCTTTGCATGATATGGACGATCGTTGACATTAATAGGGAACCGATGAAGTTATCCCCGAAATAGCTCTCGCGAAGGCTCTAAAGAGGACATCCAGAATCTCATCTCTGTAGCGAATCCCGGTCAAGGTGCCATTTGCAGGAACATGCAGGTCGGTTTTACCGTCCCAGCTGGTTCACCCCTTACCATACTTTAGCAATTTCCATGTCTGCCATGGTCAACAATGTTTACATATGCTTCATCTTGCTAAATTCTGGTCTCCATTCTGGCGCAGTTCAATTCTCATGGTTAGCGGTCCACTGGTGGGCAGGGGTTAAAGGGATTCGAACACAAGGTCGTCTTACACGTAAACCATGCTGTCGTCTTGGAACTGTTTGTGTTCAAATGTTGACACTGCGGGTAGTGAAGAGCCAAATCTCAGCTATGAAGCAATTCTGTTCTCTGTCAGAGAGCTTGAGTGTGGAGGTAACGGTCATCCCGAATCATTGTTGACCTTTCACGACCACAGCCAAGGCGGCAATACCTCACGTTTGGAAACGGTTCCATGTCCTATTGCTGACACTGTGGTAACACCAAGTTCTTCACCTACTTCACTCTCAGTCGCTCCTTTTCGCAACATTTCAGTGCCTTGTGGCAGTTCTCCAGGCCATGTTTGTTAACTGAACAGTCAATTTTGGTTTACAATGCTGAAAACACAGAGAGAAATCTCCCCACAGAAATCTGCCATCAACGCAGCATACCCTCTTCCTTCAGCTATCAATCCCTTTATGTGCATCTCCTATTCGTTATTCGTCACTTTGCTGTAACATTCAATTCTCAAATGTTTTACTTGTAACATCCCATGCCTTAGCAAATGTTGAACGGTATATAACTATACTGTATATATAATCACTGAGCTACAGCATCACAGCAACTGGTTAGAAATGTCAGTTTATTTAAGGGAAAAGAAAGATATCTCATAACAACCTAAAGGGCATTCTTATGTATGTTTTTCCTATTTTCAAAATGGCGGATGTTGTTATCCTGTGTTTCTGTGCTTGATAACTACTTTTAAAAAGGAAACTGAATCACGATAATGGTGTTTCCTTCTCCATATCAACTATACATTATGTGTCAGTATATTAAACATTGTGGCCGCAAATATATCCTCACAGTATGTTGTTAGCATATAAAATATAGAAAGTTCTTCCAGCCTTCAAGACAAAAAGCAAATACAGCAAATATAATATTCAGTAATGCGTGGTAGAACACTGAGAACTGGAACTGAATAGAATTTATTGGATGGTATAATTGGATGGAAAACGATGCAAAATTA